AGTTTGGTTGTCTGATATTATTTGTGTTACAACTTGTGGAATACCCTGTGATCTATTAAATAGTGAAAAGCTAATCTTCGTCTTCGTGTGCCTTCCCATTACCAGAGGTGTGACAGTCGAAACCTGCAGCTCAATTTAAGCAGCCAAATGAATCAAATTAACATCTCAAATTAACATCTACTTAACCTGCCATTAAATTTTACATCAATAAAATGAAACCATTTGAAACAAATTCAATCACGTTTATGCATTTGGCAGATGCTTTTATTCAAAGTGACTTACATTGCATTTAATGTATGCATTTGATCAGTTCATAAGTTCATGCAATCCCTGGGAATCAAACCCACGATCTTGTCATTGCTAGCACCATCCTCTACTGTTTGAGCTACAGAATGCCTTTCAATTCCAAAAACTTTTTATGGACTTTTAAAAAAGCATCACACAGAGCCATTCATAAATATATCCAAGTGACCTATGACCTTCACTGTCAAACTGAGCTGAAGAGTTGACCCCCATGGGGTCATGACCTTAAGTTCCAATCTTTTACTACTATTTAGGTCTCTTATCTCACTTTGACCTTCAACAACAGATCCCATTATTGACCGTACCTTTTCTAGCCACACCATGTGATGGAAAACCAAAGAAAAACGGAGTCAGACACGAGGAAGAAAAAACACATCAGCTTTATTCAGAGGCCCAAACTGAGCAAAAATATGCCATTTGGTGCAGATGTTGATATTTATATGGCAAAAAAAGTAAGATTCTGAGAATTCTGAGAGCTTGTAATGTAAATCAATGAGATCTTTATAACAGACTAGTCAAATGCATATAAATATCAGTCGTCACTCTTTATCTTCAATAATGTGTCTTAGTAAGATGATATTAAAATGATTAGTTCTAAGCTCTGTAGATTCAAAACATATAATGCAATGCAATACAATGATGATTGAGAGATGAACAAATAAACGTTCATTAAAAGCCAGATGATCATATTTGATACTCGCATTTGAACAGGAATTTTCTAAGAATGAAATATAGATAATCATGTAAACATAAGATGCATCAGTCCAGTCATCTTGAAATATTATTAACAATATAAAAGTCATACTAATGTTTACTTCCGTAAAGAATTCACAGCAAAATGGCACATGAAGTGTGAAGGTAAGGTGGACGTTTTTACAATTATACTAAAATGCCTTTTATTTGCTAAAAAAACTATAAGCTATCAATCAGACAACATGTACAGTAGTAGATTATGTAGAACAGGTTTTTCAGCAAAGTTTTGGTCATGTTGATAATTTAGAGGCCTTAGAAATTTGTGCATCAAATATGGTACAGTAGGTTTTATAGGGTTAAAGTGAGAAAGTCATACATTGTATTGTCACCTCAGGTCACTGTAGTTCAGCTTTAATGATGATCTGCTCTTAAACAGCCATTTTAACATGAACATTTATGAACACCGAAAGGTTGCAATGACTGTATTTGACTAACTAGTGCCATTAACTTCAGTGTGGAACGTCTCTATACTAGCGCTACACCAAAACATGTCTATATCTCCACGACAACTGCACCATCACTTTCTAATGCATAAGACTGTGGTGAATGGCACAGAATCAAATACATTAGTCATTAGTAATTTTCCCTTGCAGGCGTGCAGACCATGCCAAAAGTCTACGGCACATTATGACTGCAATTGAAGTGGAAGGACATCACCATCCTGTGAGCAGCAAAACTCAAGTCATCGTCTGCTAAATCGCCCACTCGAATAAACCTCTGAGAAGAGCTTTGGTTTGAGAAAAAGATAGAAGGAAAATGACTTTCTCAACTCTTCCAAGACCATAATACAGTAGTTTAAAGGGTGGAAATTATATTACTGACTCTTCTTCTCAGGTTGCGTAGTTTAAGCATCTGTTAAATGCAGGCAAGTTACAAGAACATGTAAGAAACATCAGAAAGTCTATATAAATATCCTAAGAGGAAACTATCACAAGATATGTCTCGCTCCATCTCCCTGAACACAAGTGAACATAAATTATCCCAAACAGAAACAACAACAACAGATTAACAGGAAGACAGAAGCCATTTGGATGACCAGATCCAACACAAGAACCAGCTGGTGTCTCCTCACTGCCTCCAGCATCCTTTCAAACCAGACTCAAACTCATGATATCCTCGCCAAATGCTTGCCAACTGTAAGTATTAAGGTTTGCTTTTGCTATAAATTATACCTCTAAGTGTGTGCCATATCTAGAAAACAGAATATCAGAGACTTGAGGGTGTAGGACTCTAGCAACCACCTACAACAACCTAGATCCATGTCAGGCAGCATGCATATTTTTTTATGATAACATAAGCAAACATTTAATTTTTCACACTTTTGCATGTATTATCAAAAATAAAGCAAGCATATCAAACAAAACACTAAGTATTAAGCATAAGTCGGTGCATAACATAACACAAAGGGGCTTCACTTCTAGGACAATGAATAGGACCAATATGCAGATCAGAAGAATCTATAATGTAAAGTCAAGAACTTTCCAATAATCAAAAGGACTATCCAAGCAAACACAGAACGTTCCTCTATAATGTTAGCATATTACATGCTTCTTCTTTTTTAATAACACTAAAATAATGTTCTCTATGTTTTTGTAACAAAAAATGAACCATTCTAGAACATTGCAGATATTTACAGAACATTCTCTAAAGGTTTTTTATTTTTTTTATTTTTTTTAGGATTTATTGTTTTAGGTTTTTATTGTCTTTTATTGTTTGTGTGACAACCTAAAGAGAACCTACAGAATGTTCTCTAATGGTTATTTTTAGGTTTTAGTTTTATAACCATAAACTAACCATAAACAAATTGTGGGCATCAGAGGAACTGCATTAAGTTGGTTTCAGTCATATCTTAAAAATAGAAGCTTCTCAATCAGTATTGGACGATATTTTTCTGGGGAGGTCCCCCTGACTTGTGGGGTCCCCCAAGGCTCTATTTTGGTCCCTTTATTGTTTTCTTTATATATGCTTCCTTTAGCCTCTATTTTTGAAAAGCATGGCTTCTATTATATACTCAACTTTATTTGCCGCTGAAGCATAAAAATGGTGTAGACTCCCTCTGTGCCTGTCTTTCCGATGTCAAAGCCTGGATGTCTTTGAAAATTTTTTAAAATCTAAATGAGAGTAAAACAGAGAGCATTGTGTTTGGCTCTTCTGAAGTCCCAAACATTTCTCATGTAAATTCTGGTGTTTTATCATCTTCAGTTAAATCAGCTGTAAAAAAAAACAAACTTGGGCGTCTTTTTCGATAGTGCACTTAAATTTGATTAACAAATACATTTAGTTGTCAAATCAAGTTTTTACCAATTAAGAACGTTGGCTAAAGTGAAGACCTTCCTTTCTTTTAAGCACTTTGAAACTGCAATTCATGCTTTTATTTATTCTAGAATTGATTATTGTAATTCCCTGTAACTGGGAATAAACAGTTATTCAATATCTAGATTACAAATGGTCCAAAATGCGGCTGCACGTCTTTTAACCGGTGTTCGTAAATACGAACATATTACTCCTGTGTTAATGTCTTTACATTGGCTCCCAGTATGCTTTAGAATTGCTTTTAAAGTGCTTTTGCTTGTTTTTAAATGTTTAAATGGCCTCGCTCCCCCTTACCTCTCCGACCTGTTGTGTGAATATCATCCGAAAAGAACTCTTAGGTCTGCCAGCCAGAGTTTGTTAACTGTTTCAAAGTCAAAATTAAAATATATGACTTGTGATGTTGTTTGTTGTCTGATGTTTGCTTGGTTTGTATACATGTTTTATAAGTCTTTTACAACATTGTACAGCACATTGGTCAACTGTAGTTGTTTTTAATTGTGCTTTATAAATAAATTGAAACTTGAGACTTAACCTTCCAAGAAAATTGCAGAGAGGCTTTTTTGTTACAAACTGAGGAGAACCTACAGTATACACAACATTCACTAATGGTTATTTTTTTATTTCTATGTATTTATAAACAAACTAACCATCCCAGAACACAGAAGGGAGGTTTTGTGAGAACCTAAAAAGAACCCACACAGAACGTTCTCTAATGGTTATTTGTAGGTTTTATATTTTTAAACAAACTAACCTTCCAAGAACATTGCAGAGAGGTTTCTGTGAGAACCTCTAATACCTCTAATAGATATTTTCAGGTTTTATTTTTATAACATAAACTAACATTCCCAGAATGTTGCAGGTAGTTTTTTTTTGTAACAACCTAAAGAGAACCTATATAGAATATTCTCTAATAGCTATTTTTAAGTCTTATTGTTATAACCATAGCAACCCAAGAACACTGCAAAGTGTGAAAAGGTTTTACATAAGAAATGGGATACAATTCTCTTTGTTGAAGTGCTGCAAAGAAATATTAAAGAACCTGTTACTTTAAAAAGGCTCATATCGTAAGAAATCACGTTCATACTATGAAAGCAAATTGAAATTTCAAAACCACCATTTTTTTTAACTAAAATGCAAAAAGAACTCGTTCTGAACTTCTACTTTCTGAGAACAGTCAAATCGGCCCCATTCAAACATCAGTTTAGTGTTGAAAAACTTTTATCAGCCACTGCCAGGTCCTAATTTATCCCCTAATTTAGTGCTGTTACTCATTTTGCATGCAAAAAGGTTGCTTGCATATTAATTACTTAAAGGTACAGTAGCACAATTTCAAGGTCCAGGGAAAAATGGTAGTATTAACCTAAATTACAACCAGTTTGGCACTTTAAAAAAAAAATCTACACAATAATATGATAAATGTATAATCTGTCTGCTAATCATGTTCAGCAAGGTTATTGACTTCAGCATTCAGGACAGAAAACGCAAATACAGGTGTCTAATGTGAATTCCTAAAGCTTTACGTGATGAGATATATCTGCATGCTCTGCATCACTGTTGTCATCAGGCTACTTCACATTTGTATATATACAGTAAAAGCATCGGTAACGGAAAAGTTTACAAACAACGCTTACTGATTTGTGTGTCCGGATGATCAGCTCACAAACAGATTCAAAGGACAACCATCCATTCTTCAAGAGACCGAAGCCTGAGTTTAACGTACACTAGTGCTCAGTGTGGACGGCTCAATGTCAGCCTGATACAGATATTGGATGGGCCTGCAATCAATATTAATACAGAGTAATCAGCCAATCGAAAGAGGTCAGAGAGCTGAATGACAGGATGTACAATACTGATCATGATTACAGTTACATCAAGCTCAATATACTAATGACATACCTCTCCATCTCCATCTTCACAGGTTGAATGGTCACATCCTTCCTCAGGAATACAGAAAAGAGTAAGAAAGTAGAATATAATTACTTGTGCTTGTTAAAACAGGCATCTGATATTCTGGTCTTGGGTCCATCCTTCAATTTAAGTCTATGGGAATTTTCCATTTTATTGTCTGACAGGTGAAATGTAAATATTCTTCAAATCTTCAGTTCAGAAAGACAAATAATTTGAGTTACAATTCACATTCATTAATCTAATTACATAGGGTTTTGTTAAAATCCAATGCAACAGCAAAAGAGATGCACTGCTTTAAC